CACTCTGACAACGTCCCTGTATTCCTCCCAAGTGGCCTGTCCCCTTTTCCACATTCTGTAGACTTCCTTCTTCCGTTGGAGTTTTGCCACGAGTTCCTTGCTCACTCATGCAGGTCTCCTGCCCGCTTTGCTGGACTGCTTACTCAGAGGGGTGCACCAATCTTGAGCCTGGAGGAGGTGATGCTTGAATATTAACCAGCTTTCTTGGACCCCTCTTCCTCCTCAGGCCCTACCCCATGGGACTCTTTCAATACAGACTGGAGCATGCCTTAAAGTGAGTGCAGTAACATACATGTAACAGAATATGTGACATTTTATATACAATGTTGCATATCTATTATATCCAGTAACACATTGACAGTTATACTGGACAAACTTATTTCTATAAGACACAAGCCATGAACGCCTCCTCAACAGCATAAGGTGGTCATACTTCAAGTGGCATCATTGTAGCTTTTTCACTAAGATAGATCATGCATTCCTAAACATAATACTTTAATCAGTATGAAAACTCCTTAGGAAAAGCTCTAAACGCACCAATAACTTGTAACAATACAAAGAAAACGATGAAACAAGATGGCAGATGCCTAGTCAGAAACACAGAGTAAATTCTTTGAAGTTTTTTTCAGAGGTTGTTAAGAGAAAGTGCAAGATCACAAACAGGTCTGTAAAGCATAAGGAACTTCTGGGACCAAAGAACAAAGTAACCTTATTTATTTTAAAGGAAGTGAACTCCTTCAGAACATGCTCTCGGTGAAGTAATGAGCACTGCTTAATTCTCTTCATCAAATAGCTTTAACAGATTATCTGTGGTCTATGAAAGTTAACGTCAATAACTTACTTACTGAGTGCTTACTCCCGCTGATGCCAACAGCTAAATTTTAAGAAAGCTGCTGTTGCCTAAAATAAATTATAGCACAAAATGTTACTTGACAAACGTTTGCCATTAGAAAAAAGAAATGGACTAAGGAGAGACACAGCCTGGAAATCAGTAGTGGACTGTGCCTTTTTATTACTTTAGTGAGGTCAACACTGAAGTTAAGCTCTGAATTTTCCAAAACTGTAATTCAACAGACAAAATATTTGTCAGAATGCTTTGGGCATCCAAGTCATCACAGAACTGCCCAATGGCCCAAAGAAAAGAAATGCAGTAAAGACTATCTGGAAATGATATTAATGACATTTTACTTACAATTCTTTAGTATTTACTTATATTGTTTACTTACAAAACACCTATATACATATATATTTTGCTCACATAAGTTTGTTATACTGATAGGAAATCAGATCATGAGGAAATATATCATACCCAAACATTAACAGCAAAAAAAGGATGATTACTTTTCAAATACAGATTGTAGGCTACCTTTAAGTTTGTATTTAACTCTAAATTCTAAGGCAAATTAAGTTTACTTCATAAAACGTTAAAAGCAAATATTTAAGGCTTTTTTTTTTTAAATTAAGACATTTTTTAAATTACTTCAGTGTTACTGCATGCTGTCCTACAGTACTTCAAAACAGAATAATATCCCAGACATGTCCATTCAGCCATGAAGCAAATTCAGAACAGAAAACTGTCTAAACAGGGTAAGGCATTTTCAAGGCAAAGCTATCCTAGAAGGAGGAATTCTCTCAACAAGTAAAAGTATCCCAAGGTCTTCGCCGCCTTTATTTCAGGAATGCAATCATCCAAAACATATACAGCCAAGCTTTGTTACAGATTTGTTTTTTTAAAAGGAACATAATAATCTATTTTCTGTTTATTCAGTAAACTAATTCAGGCTGGAATCATGCTATATTGTATGTGACTAGAAATTGATGGAAGAAAACGTGCCACCATTAAAAGTAATCATGTGAAAGAGAGAACATACTCCATTCCATAAAATATCTTTCATTTCTGATTAACTGAGCTACAGGATAGAAAACCCAGCACTAGCTGCAGCAGCAGGCAGGAATTCTGCCTATATTTTCTGAGATGTTTGACAGTTTTTAGAATGGCCCATAAAGAGCATAATGTCTAATTCTATCTCAAGGATAGAGAGAATGCAAAAAAAAGAAAAAAAAAGAAGAAAAAAACCACCACACAACACATTTTTTTTTCCTCCAGAAAACTTAAAAATAAATGCAAGCCTTTGGCAGCTGTTACTTTTGGCATTCATTCTCCTACTACAGCCTTTCCAGCACTGCCCGACTCCAAGTAAGGTGAAGTTACTTTAGTCAAACCTACCTGAATGTACTTAAAATCTACAAAGCACACGCTATATTTAAGGTACAAACTTACTACAGGCTTTAAAAACCTCATACGTATTCTGATCAACATGACACCTTGATTTATGCACTTTCAGGAACACTTTCTATATAAACAGTATAGGAAATATACTAAAACATAAGTTAGCTAGCAATTTACATACCTTTTTTGAACTGCAACTTAAAATTCTAAATTTTTTCCGCTAGCATGGACACTCTGTGAGACAAATCAAAGCTTTACCAAAAAGATAACAACGTTCTTCCTCCAGGTATTATACCTAGAACATAAATGTTGACCATCTTCATTTTAAAAATAGCACAATACAAAAACACAAACTGCCAGGCAATGCGTAACAGATTGTTTCATGAGAATCACTTAATTTGCGAACAAAAAAAAATTGTGCACTCCTAATCTTGAAAATTATATGTTTATCTCAGACTCATTACTGAAATTAAACTTTTCTTGTGTTTGGGACCTCTAGAAAAATCTATTTTTTGCCTTAATTGAATGTAGGCAGGCCGACTGAAAAAAGCATATGGCCTAAGAGCAATAAGCTAATACGCTATCTGGAACAGCAGCCATTGACAGATACTTAAGAAAAATAAAATCGAAAAGGACTGAAACTACAGGACTTGTTAAGTTCTAACATATTCTTTGGCATGCAGTAGTAGCGAGCAATCAGCTTCCCAGATAGTCGTTCTTTAACCACAGGGGGTGAACACACTACAACTGGTCTGAATCAGTGGGTTCTAAAGTCAAAGTAACATATACAAAGAGAATATTGTGGAGAAGAATCTGCTGCAGATGGCAAAGAATAAGCAAAATTGAAATAATTCTCCCATGTGTTAATGACCGTATTCATAATGCTATGTAACACTTTCAGCTGGAAGAATTTTTCACTTGATAGAAGAATCTTATTGGGCTGTGTAGTAATTTTTCCACTCAAACTATGTTTGCTAGGACAATTCACAAGCTAAGTGTTGTTCAGTTTGTTACTCAGCTCGGAAAAAACAAAAATCACCATGGCTACAAACAAACTATTATGATAGGACACAATGGCAATTAGCTTTGTATCAGCCAAACTTCACGAGTTCAGTTTGCTGCTGTAACAAATTAAGGTGTACTTAGGAAAAGTTTTGTTGTCTAGAGACATAAATTTATAATTTAATCACTACTTTATTGTAAAACCCAAATATAGAAGTAGTTGCTCTTTTCTGAGATGGAACTGAAAAATTAAACAGCCAAGTTCCATGAAAGAACATCCAGATACAGTTTTCTCACCTGCATTTAATGAACATAATGAAGAACGGTCAGAAACAAAAACACAAGTTGTCCTTCTCCATTATCAGGAAATGCCAAAGACAAAGGAGAACAAACAATGCATGCTATAGGAAAGGACCTCAAGAACTCTCAGCAAAGAGATGAAATGGAGAACAACCAGAGTATCAGTCTGTCAGAAAAGAAACAGTGTAAGGAAAAGCAAGGAAAAAAAAAAGACAGAACAAATCTAGGGCTTCAAATAATTTCAGGCTCATTAATGGAGTGACAACAGAAACGTGAAAGTTCAAGGAAGTATTTTTGGTCATTTGCTTTTAGTTAGACCTGCTTTCCTAACCAACTTTATTCTGCTGGTTAAAGGACACACACCATACCACATCAATTTTGCCATTTGATGAGTAAAGTTGAAAGGCACAAATGAAACAGAAAAGATCTTGTCAGATCTGTTGGCCAACACACACTAGCTGGAAGTATTCTGGGAAAAAGGTTTTGGGCGGGGGTGTAGAAAAAACTCAAAAGCTAGTCTCAAAGTGTCATTCTAACAGTCAGGAACTGACGCCTTCTGTGGGGTGGAGAAGCAAATGCAAATTGTTCCACCTACTGCAGGCAAACTGTTTCTGTTCCAGGTTACAGCCCCAGGAAACTGTCAGTACCTTCAGCACTACAAGCATATACCCAGCTTCTCTCTCCTCAGTAACGCGCTGGGCATGCCAACTGCTTAATAAGAACCACGCTTTTCTCATCAGAGTGAATTTCAACAGTCTATCAACAATATACTACAATACATGAATGACTGCATAAATATCCACATTTTTTATTAAAGGTAAACATCTACAAATAACATACCACAATATATATTTAAACTGAAAAAAAAAAAAAAAACCAATTGTAACTGCTTGGTTTTCCATTTACTCTCACCACAGTAATACCTCTGTAGAAGTCAGAGGCAGAAGTCACTACCATGTGCTTACAGCATCATCATTGAGATGCTACACATTCTTCAGAAGACTACTGTTAATTATACACAAATCAGTTCACCTTTTAGGAAAATGTATAGAAAAATACTTAGTTTAAGTCTGTACTGTTAATTTTAAGGGCCTGATTATGTTTAAAATTAAGTAGAGGAGAAAGATAGCCTAACAATCCATACTTTAAAAAATGCACAAAAAACCTCTTCAGATCAATTTAACAGCATTTTCTTAAAAACTAATATAGAAACCTCCTTATTTAATACATTAGCAGCTCTCTCAAATGAGTACATTGATAACAATTTACAAGTTACCAATACCACACAACACGCCTTACAAAAGCATTCCAGTTCGAGGAGTCATCCTTACAGCATTCAAACTCATCCTGCTTTGTTGCTCTAGAACACAAAATTCCTTCTGGATTGAAAATAGGAAGCTTTTAAAGCTAAAAAATAAAATTAATTGATATATAAGTCTTTCTTTAGGAAACATATGTTTCAACTTACTTAACTGAGTTTCTGAAGTGGTCTTCAGCTGGATTTTTTACTGTACAACTGTTCAGCAACCATAAATCTGCTTCAGCAGAGTTCTCTAGGAGACAAAGATAGAAAGTCATATTAAAGAACTTTTCAAACTGTGAACTTGTAGTTTATACCATATGAAAAGAGATCAAACTTAGCCTTTATCAACAAGTTGGTTATTCACAACAATGATGTTATACAACTTCCAAGAATGTAATTGTTTCGTTATACTCAACATTTAAAACAATTACATTCTTGGAAGTTGTATATTTATTAAAAAGATAGTAGAAGAAGAAACGAGCATACTTCCATCAGTACTTATTTTTTGCAAAGGAAGAATGAACTGGTATCCCACTTACGGGCTGAGAGTCCACTAGGTTACATCTCACAGAAGCAAGCTTCAGAAAAATGTTTGCTACTCCCAAAAATACACACTCCCTGGAAAGATCTGGCCTACACAAAGGCAGAAGGATCATAAAAATGCATAAAGGTGCTTTTTAAAAAATTAAAAAAGCAGTCAACAAAAGCTCGTTTCACTAACAAAATGGAATCAGTGCCTCAGCCCTACTGTGAAATATTATTACAAAAGCAGCAAACTAGAATTTATAAAGCATGGATATCTATTAAAGAGAGAAGTCAAAGTAGTAAATTTGGAAAGAATTATGCCTATTTTAGTTCTAACTATTTCTTAATTATGTTATAATCAGAGCAACTTCCAGAAAAAAAAGATATCTGTCTCCACTCAGATAAGCATATAATTTTCATCCAGAACCAAGCCTTTCTGTAGATTCAAAATCTCATGATAGCTGAATATACTAACAGATTTAGGTCCCAGAATTATCTGCAGAAGCACTCCTATAAGGTCTAATCCTATAATATATGACTACGGTACAGAATTAGTAACATCATTGTTTCTCTTGTGAAGTAAGAATTTATCGGAATGAAGAGCATCCGTCTCAGACACTCAAGTGCTCTAGCACTCATCAGAGTAGCTTATATCAGTTTGGATAAGAAAGCTTGTGTCACTATTGGCACTATTAAGGACATCCTGAGTATTAGCATTGATTAAGGTATTTCAAATAATATAAACCAGTGAACAATAAAGTGAAAACATCATTTTTAGGATGCCTTATTTGAACTGACATCCTGCTAAAGCAGAAAAAAGCTTGCAAAGACTTAAGCAAGTTTACATATGCACTCATCACAAATTTATCCACATATAAATGAATAAATATCCTTTTCCCTCCATACACACACTTATGATTCTAAATGCTAAAAATGAAAAATCTGTCTTTTTGTCTCCACGGTTGTCTCCACAGAATCTGTGCTTTTCCGTTAACTATCAATCACTTAACCCAGGAAGCAGCAAAAATGCAAATAACACATGAAATAGGAACTGAAGGACATTTATGTTAAACAAGAGAAACCATTTGTAAGTTTTCTAATCTTTGTTGATCAAAATTCCACCATTAACTTGTTGGATCAAGCACCAGCCCCTTCTATGACAGACAAAGGTTACTGATAAAGGAATTGTCAACAATAACATTCAGGCCTTCAGTTATTTTTAAGCTTATAGGGAATGTTCCAAGATCTGACCCTGTCTCTTGACAAGACGGAAGAGAGGAACAATTTCAGTTTTACTCTCTACTGAAGTCAAAACAAAAATGGAACAAGCCAAAGAATTTCTCCTCAAAGCCAGACTTCAGGAAAACAATTAGGTATGTTCAGACTAATGAACTTGCTATCACTGTCAGAAAGGTAAACATCAGTGAATACTTGATTAGGAATGACATACTGAAAGGCAAGGGAAGGTACAGTTTCAAAATTAGAAAAGGATGATGAACTCTTGGCCCTAATCAAAGCCACCAAGTATGAAAATAAATACATTTTCAAAATACAGTTTTCCAATAATACTGCCAAAATTTTCTATTTCGTATTATTTTCAGCATCATAAAACATTTATAAACTCAGCTCCACATCCATAATACACCCACTTGAGAATCACAGGGATACTCTGTAACAAGAGGGTGACATGGTAAGTATACTGCCAGGAGGCCGTGAACGTACTTAAGAGAAAACAGAAGAGTTCAGTAGAAGCAATGCGTCACATATACCACGACAATTTCCAAGCTATGGAGATCTCTTTATTCAGAGGAAAGATACCTAATTTTAGACTTGGCTCCTGCTCCTCTCCTGCTCATGTGCAAAGCCCATGTTAAAAAGGAAGAGACGGTCTCGCTATGTCCATACTTTTCCCCTCAAGTTAGAGTAAGAATCCTTACTTCAAAATGGTATTGGAAGAACACATGCTAAATTTTAGGTTTAGAAAGACCTTACACACCAACACAATAGGAACCATTTCAGGTTATTTGGATTTGAGGCTATTAATTTATTATTTCCTTGTTTTGGACCTTAAGGGACAACTGCAACACTTACACACATTTTACACAAACAAAACATTTCCCAGATACATCCAACTCTATTCCTTTATTGGCCTCAGCCTCTATTAGTGCACAATAAAGTCTGAGCAGTTCAGGTAAAAGACATATCATTAATCTATATATCTAAAAATAATATAAGCAGAATAAAATTGTTACAATGGGTTGCCCTGTCTTTACAGTGAAGTGACTCTTATCACCTTTAGTTGCTCTGTTCCTGTATTTATTTTTAGTTTCTCTCTTTTCGTGTTAAGTCTTATTCTCTCCTATATGGTTGCATTTGTATACTAGTCTTGATTTGTATACTAGTCTTGAGTTATGTTTAATGTTTATGGACTGTACCTATTTATTATTCACAAGACAGTTCATGTCATATCTCTTCAAAAAGAGAGCTGCATTTTCTTAGTTCTCCATTGCACTGTTTGGACCTGCGAAAGGTACCACACGCACTGCTGTTCATTTACTGTGATCCATTGCATCTTTTCATGAAAATTTCAGTTTCAAAAATTGGACTTACAAACAGGATACGTTTGTAGCAGGTTGCAGGAAAATACCTTAGTTTATAAGAGGGGGAAGGGGAGGACTAGTCAGTGACCAGCTTTCGCTTTCAGAACACCTGATGCCACTCGCACTAAATGCAAGGCCCTGATGGGTACGCTGAAACGAACATGGAACAAGACATCAGATCAGCCTTGGATGTATAAACAAGGCACCTCATAGTTACTAAAGATAAAGCACAGTGCAGACAAGGTCGTTTATTTAGGTTCAGGGTTTTTTTGGAGGGCTTGGCCATATGTATTTTAAGCAGAGTTCTGACACAACCAGGGTAGCTGTTCAGAGTTTGCCTAGAGAAAGAGTAAAATAGCTCTGACAAATAGCCGACACTTCCCAATATGTGGGCAGGAGCAGATAGACCTGTGTTTTCTCTGGTTATACTGCAAGAAAACTGAAGTGAACTCATTTAGGTCTGGACGGTGAAGACTGAAGGCAGTGCTGTGCACCTATTAAGAGAGCCTAGGCAGCTCTTCCATGAAGGTCTCCACCTGCTGTCCTCTTGCATTCCAGCCACCACCCTCTAAGATCACAGCGAAGCTGCGGTTAATTCATTCAGCAGGTTGATGCCTACCTTCCTCAGAAAACTCCATTAGTCAAAATTACAGCCAAGAACAGAAACAGCTTGCCTTTTGGGAACCCTCACAGATCTTACCAAAGACGACAATTTACAGAAGGTTTTCCTGGTATGCTGCACATATTGCGACACTCCACATTGAGGTAAGAACCAAAACATCAATTATGGTAGTGAATATGAAGTATGGGTGCCCTTTTCTATACTCTGCAATAAACTTGTTTTCTCTAACTAGAGATCACCGTTTTACAACTTGTTTTCTCCAATACATTCAGTCTAATGACACTTTTTAAATGACAATGATGCTGCTGACCATTTTTGATAATGACATTTTAATAATGATTTTGATAATGACGTTTGCCCAGCTTCCTGTATGTTAGGACATTTAAAAAAAAAAAAAAGTAATGTCAAATCTGTCCTATACTAAATGCTCAAAAATACAACTGAAAACCACTGCCTTTTTGCATTGTGACATCTTTTCCATGAAAGAAAAGCTACACTGGAAGTAAACCACAAAGTCTATCATACTCTCTGCAAAACAACTTAGACTACAAAGAAACCTAAAGGTCATGGAAACTTCTGAACACTTAACTTAATTGGAAAGCTCTGGAAAATATGAACTGACTGTATTATGCAAGACTTAAGAGTGTAAATGGCAAAAGTCTGAATTGTCAATATACCTACAGAAGAAAGCAAATCAGGAGAACTTCTTGTAAAGACAACTGTAGTAACACTATCAGTTGAAAATTAAACAACTGATTTGCTTTTAACTTGGTGTTTTAATTTTTTTCTTTCAATTTTATCCCAAAACTTTGTTTTCTTCCAATGCCCCTCCTCTGCGAACCATATCTACTTAAAAAAAAAAAAAAAACCACACATAACACACACAGAGCACTGAAATAGAAGAAACATGCACAGTGAAGCCCTAAAATAACAGCCCTTCATTACCTTCTCCAGCACATCCTTCCTCTTTGCACTGAAACCACTACCAGGTTCACTCAGCACTGCTTGTTCAAAAGCCACAAAGCATAATTTTTATGACATCCTTTTAAATCCTGTACAATCTGTGTTAACTCAGTCTGCAAGAAGATATTTCCCTGTAATCATAAAAGTTTCTCCTGGAGCATTTTCCTCCACTTTTTATTCTGTTCTTAAGTTCTCTGGGAGTCTTTCTTCACACTGTCTCTGATTTTCCTTTATTTCTAACTCTTGCACATTTGATGTACTTCAAGCTTCTCTATTTCCATCTGTGGTATTCTAGCCTCTGACCCCATCTACAGATTTCCCTGCTAATGCTTTGCCCTGTGCATTATTTCCAAAACAGCTCTGCCCCGTTCCCTTGATTCCTGGACTCCCATTTTATATTCCAAATCCAATAGCATCCAAGTTGTAAATTTGCAGCACATGCTCACAATTGCAATCCACGTGAATAACCTCCGCCAAAAAGATAAGATGAATCTAGGCAATAAGGATCTCTCTCACAGCCAAATACAAAAGTCATCCAGC